CATGACAATAGTATAATTGGTGCTAAATGTTTGAATTGTGTCATTTCAGTCCACTAGTCGTAGCAGAACGAGTTGTCTAACATTGACGCTCAAACTCTGAAGAGGCAGGCCAACGGTTTCATGTGTCAACGGTTTCATGATAAATACAGATGTATTAGGTTTCAGAAACATAGAAAAAAGTGGTCAGCCTTGTCAGAATTGAATCATGTACAAATCTGAGTAATAGTTAACTATAGAGGGCGCACTTTTGTATTATTATTTACTTTTGTGGAAACATGAAGTAGTTGGTAACGTTGTTGTAAATTTATCTCAAAATCGAGCATGATAATTAACATGTAAATAAAGATGTTTTATATAATTTTAAATATTTTGTTTTTTCTCTCTTGCCTAGAATCTACATACAAGTTATTCAAGTTGAGGTCATATTTGAGATATTGCAGAGACAAATTTAGTAGTTATAGACGATTTTAAGCTTGCTTAATCTGTATATACTCGCCTAATGTAAAATGGAGAGTAGTAACGCTAACTGTGTTTCAGTAGTGTTAAAAAACGTCACAAATACCACAACCAGATTGTGTTTATACTACATTTTTGTATCTTGACATTTGTATAATCTCCCTGAAATATAGTATTTACATCATACAATGTTTTATGGTAAATTGACCTCAATAATTCATTGTCATTGCTGCTTCATTAATGTGACCGATCAACAATATTTTACTGTCTGACCAAGAACTCCAGGCAACAAATTTGGATCAGGGGTTTGAATGTAATATTGTCACCTTTAGCAATGTAACGACAGTATGGCACATGGTTGAGATTAGCGCCACCGACGTTAAACTGCGGTAAGGCACCACTTTCCCAATTTGTTAGGTGTTCAGTTATTTGCCTGGTACATTCCCTTTACTAAACGAAGTAGGCAGCAAAGGCTGGTTCATAAAACATTGATGACTATGAAATACTGACGTACCAGAAGTGATTAATGACAACACAAGTATGAACGACATACAACACCACAGGTGTTGAGGGATGGTGCATACAAGTAGCAAACCAACTAGATTTCCCCCATCATTGAAAGGGCGCCTGTCGTCGCATCGCTTCCGTTTTGATTTGGGACTCAAAGTGACGTATACAACGCGTGTAAAATACATTGTTTGTTTACATGAAATACGCACTGTGCGACGACCATCTGAATATTCGGGTCATGTACTGTCCGAAGAGTCAAACTGAATTTTCTGCAAATCGTTTCTCTCGCTTTCCAAGACTAAATATACTTTTGTTGTTTTAGAAAAGTCTACATACTCAAGTTGAAATTTGTTTGAACATAATTACGCAATGTTCGTTACGGTGTGAAAACCTCGAGTTGGATTCTGTTCTTTTGTTTGTTTATAATGAATTTCATCCACAATGACCTGCGAGTACAAATTAGTCGTGTTAATCACATGGATTATTGGGATAACTGCACGCACGTCGATGATATTAACGTGCGTATCGCACTAGAACAATCAATCATAAAACAATCATCTATGTTTCAGTACTGCACATGTTACAAAATATGTTTCGGTTGAATTCACATTCAATAAACATGGTGGACACGCTCCTGGAAACGTCTGTGTATATGAGTATTAGGTGAAAATTGCAATTTATATTTTCCTGTGGCAGTACAATTTCGTTTCGGTCTTGAATTATCGCCTGGTGTTAAAAAGACGCCCACGTGCATGGCGATGATAAGTGTAGTCGAGTTACTTCGAATTACTCCCTCAGAGACGTTTTAATAATGCATCCATTGCTTTGTCATATATGCATTAGAAAATTTGAAATTTGATTAATATTGTTATATTTCTTAGTTTACTTTTATTTGTATAAATAACAATCTTAAAGTAGTGGTGCGTGTATAATTTACATACTCGTTATCTAATTGATATCATGTGCAGTCATCGAACTGTAATCGATATCAAGGTGTATGAAGATAAAACTCTGTAACGACGGCAACCTATGGAAACTATGGAGCCTGGCTGTAAGTCGTAGTTTGCTCACCATATCCCGATATTTATGGAACGAACCTAAAACCTCAGTTGCTGTTCTTAAAACCTCAACGTTCGATAGTAGCACACACATTCCTTTACAATACAGTTGGTGTTATTGAATGTATCTGCATCGCCAAGTAAAACAACAAACCAAAATTAAACATTTTTGGACAGTATACGAAAATACATCCGATTCGGATTCCAACCACAACCTACTAGCAAATATTAAACGTTTGGTTCATGAATTAAAAAACATTGTGTCGAACAGGTGCGAACATTCTGCTCCAATAGAATATCCCTCTCATTAAAATGTGCTTGAGGACACTCACGGAGAACTCCAGAAATTGAGCTATGATAAATTATTTTAGCTGTAAGCCATAGAATGAGCTCCCACAATCCTTTGCGTTGGATGGTTTGTATTAACAGTGTAATAAACTACATGCTTATATGTATTTATTACACTAAGTGCCAAAATTAAAACGAAGACACGTAAACTTTACGCTTTAATATATATCATTACCGCTTACATTACATTCAACGCCGACCTTTCATCTGAACATTACAAAGCATATACCGTGCTCAATGGTCACACCTTGATTTAACTTAAATACTAAAAATGACATTGCTTTTATTGTCAACATGTTAAGAAATAAAAAAGGGTCATTTCCAGCGGTCAACTAACGAATTTATATGCAAGTCCTTGTAGATGCGCAAATCTGATTGGTTATAATGATCATGAAATAGTGTATTAATGGGTAATTTGCGTTGTAAATCTTATACTTTTGTATTGGAAATTACACTTCACACATTAGAAAGTACACTTCGTATATTGGGATATATGTATATGGCAAAATTGTACTTTGTACGTGTAAATTATAAAGTGAATATACATATATTGCACCATTACTAAAAATAAGATTACTATATATATAAACAATGTCACTATATATATATATATATATGAACAAAGTTACTATAAATAGACAATGTTCCTATAAACAGACAACTTTAGTATTGCGTGTGGTTCATTGAAGAGCGTGCCTGCAAATGCGATGCGTTCTTTGTTATCAAAGCTTCTGTTATTACTACCCTCTATATAGAGATTGGAATTATGCTTAATAATCATGACTTAATGAATTACTGTGACCATGGAAGTAAAACCATGATGTGAGTGTAGCGTTTACAATGATCTATTGCATATTTCTCCAATGCCTTCCTTTGTTGGTGATTACGGGTATTGTGACAATTTGGGTCGTATAAAACATCCTTTGATTTTTAACCTTGTATTTCTATTCCCTTTCTTTGCTGTCAGCATGTAAGCTACTCGTGTAATATCCTCGATGTGAACTAACAATGTTTATAACACATTGGGTGTGTTCGACTGGCGTTAGATATATTCAATTTGGTATGTACTAGTAGCCTATGATCCTATGTGAAGGGGGGTATTGGCATAGGCATGGTATACATGATGTACCTTTTCCGAAACTCCCTAAAGTCAGTTTGTTCACTAAACCCCCTAAGCATAGGTCAGTTTTCATATGCTCCTTTCGCTTCATAAATAGCGTTTTTGCTTTATTGTTCAGATCAAAATTTCCCAAAAACAAAAATGTTTTTGAGTTCGGGCGGCTGACCCCCGTCAATGGTTTGGGCCCCGAGTATAAGAGTTTACAGTTATTCAAGGCTATAGCAGCGAGGATCATTGAAAAGTGTTTTCCTCTCAGAAATTAATTAAAAAATCTGTTTGTCTCCGCTTAGGCGTTAATGACTATCCAGTCAATGATGAGATTTGGTAGATTCTCGAATTAAGTCATTTTTTCACACAGATCAGATGATGAATAATTGGTGTCAATAAGGAGCAAGGATGGGTAGAAGAGTCCGGTGTTATTTAATATTTATATTCAGCGAGTTCTTTAAAATGTAGTACGGAACTACACGGGTAATATTTAAAAAAAATACTAACCCCATATTCCTGTTTCTAGAGAACAGTTTAATTACGTTTACGACAAGGACTTCTTATTTGATTTGTTGAGCAACATTTTTCTTAGTCCTCACTCAGGTTGGACCTCTTCATCTAATATTGACATCGCTTGGCATTCTGACCACACCTCGACACGGTCAAAGTCTAACGAAATGGCTACAACCTGTAAATGTTTTCTTTCTCATGCATGTACTTGCCTGTTCACTATTTTATTGTAAATTTTCAACGGATATTACTTTCGTTTTTATACGCGGATTTCAAATCGACGTTCAAAGACCCATTCGAAATGTCTTTCCAATAAACATCTTGTAAATAAGAAGAGAATACATGCCGATGTCGCAAACATGACTTAAAGGGCGGTTTGGACTCATAGAGCGTGTAAAATATGATGTTTGTTTTCATAAAATTCGAACACGCGACGACCACCGCCTTTTAAATTAAGGTCTTGTATTAACCATGAATTGAGCTCGATGAAAAAGCTCATATATGTTGTTCAAAATAAAGATAAATTCATCTCTGTCACTATACTCAGGCTAAGTCTAAAATTGTTAATATGCTTTTTTTCGCGTTGTTTAATAAAAAAATAAGTGCAGTCCATGTTTCCTGTATGCTGGGCAATAGGAGATAACATGTCATAGTAGTGTACACAGTTGTACTTGTAAAGATATCATTGTTATTATTTGGCTTGAAGGGCAACAAGGCAGATGTAAATAAAGGGTATCACCGGAAGTGACGTTGGAGAATTTCTAATAATGAAATCAATCGCTCTTTTAATTCGGAACTACTCTTAATGAGTATGTTATCCATTATATATGACATGAAATACGGCACAAGAACAATGTTACGGAGAATGTATTGATAGTTTGATATATACTGTTATTAATAAAGGTTGTCTATGGAAATATAGGCTTAATAACTGCGAACTTGAGGAGTCAAATTAGGTCACGTGACAGGCTTATAACCCAGGCAGCCGTGGCTGATCCGTGCAGTTACATCTACAAACAGATAGGTTTGTCTGCTCGCTGATATTTTTGCAAGAATGCCCATGTAATATCGCCCTATTTCTATTGACTGTCCTGCCCGCGACGACACTTACAGAACTGTGGCTTTACTGACTACATCGTGTTGCCAAGCAGTCAATAACTGTCACGTCAGTCGTGGGTTGATCGTCGCTGCGAGCAAGCAAAGACACTCTCGCCTGGGCCTCATAGTTTACGACCCATCGTGCATTAGATTATCATTTGAAATTGCCATCTCACTAAATCACTGCTAATAAGGCCTGTCATTCTGAACTCGAGGACCTCGCCATCAGCCGACAGCTAAGGAAAACGTCGACTCCGTGCGCGCGTAATCGGAAGTCAGCGGGGGAAGTGTTCAAGTTAGATCTGTCAACAAAACAAAAAAAACCTTCATTCTGAGAAAATATCCGTGACGATACGCTATAGCATTGTTACACAGATCATCAACATTCTCGCCCTCTAAGAGAAGAAAATAAGTACGCGAATGGCATCGACGACGGAAAAGCAAAGCGACAATGGACCGAAAATGGAAGGGAGTCAAGACCAGCTGAAGAAGGCAGGGACCAGGTATGTAATTCATTAAGGCACAAATGTGTTTGTATGTTGTTGGGTATGTGAGCCCTTTGCGTCATATTTTGCGTACGAGCACAGGGTTCTCACTAAATATCAAAAATTATAATAATATAGGTACAATAATAATATCATGCATTTAAACATACTCCCATGTAATGTAATATTGCTCGAAATATTAAAAATATAATCCCATTACTGATACGTAAATATTCTTTATAAATGGAAAAAAAAAATGACATGGGGTTTTTAGTTCCATGGATATTGTATAGCAGCATTATACAGTTTAAATAAATAGCAATATATTTATTTTAAAAATATTTTGGGTTAATTCTAGTCTATTAGACTAAAATACATGTAAAGTGTATGTATCCTGGTGTGATTAGTTGGGCAATATCAAATGGCGTGATTTATTTGGTATAAAGAGGATGCAGAAAATTAATATGGTATTTGTGTGGTGTATGTGTCCACTGCCAAGCTGTGTATATATGTCATAGTTCAGGGTTAGATTCATAGTTTTGTGATACATGTTTGTAGAGTTTGAGTCTTGATCGTTTTACGATCTTCTGTCATTCTATGTCTTCACGATTTATTCCAGGTCCCCTTTGCAGTGTATCAAATGTCACATGTTTTTTTATTCTGGTATGACCAAATTATGCTTGATTGTGAGTTTGTACATAAAGACCTTAGAAAACAAGCTCTATGGTTAAATTAAAGTATTTGAAAACAGACTACTCAAATAAATGACAGGTTTCAGCCGTTATATTTAACGTTTAAGGATGTGGTGATAAGATATGTATGTCATAGTATAAATTTTGATATCGCAGGGGTAGTAAAACTGTTTTTGACTGTAACAACAACTACTACAGTGACACAAATTAGATGATTAACACTATTTGTTTATTGCAAATTGATGTTTTTGAATGTAGCCATAGGATAGGTTAACTCATTTATGCTATAAATTGTACAAATCAGAGCAGTTCACAATGATCAATACAAGTATGCGAGTCTGAGGAAAGAAAATTTATACAATGTGTTATGACAGCTGATAACGACAGTCTCATGACTCCAATTGTGCCTTGAAATATTAGGAATTCAGTATCTGTATAAAATTGAAAGAAGAGCAACATCCCTAGGGTGATCATCTGGTGAATTTATCAGTGTTGCTATAACAACTGATAAGGCTTGTTTTACTTCAGTTTCGTGCCTTTTCTCTCTTCTTGTTGGTCATACAATTGTTTTTCTTCTTCTCCAACCTGGAATTGAGAATTATATTTCAGGTTATTCATAGAGTACATGATCAGCACAAAATATGAAGAGTTAAATTTTTTTGTGACATAAAAATCAACCTTTTCAGTACTCTGAAAATGATTCCCTTTGTACATTATTTAATATTTAATAAATAGAGACTGATCTCTGTTCACTATGCGATATAGTCTGCCAGTTCTGCCAGAGATGACATGGCTAAGAATCATACCCAATTTGCATAAAGTGTGGAAGTATTCAGAAACAGATGTTTGCCATGTTTTGTTTCATGTTCTCTAAGAATCTGGCAAAAAAACAAAAAAAAAAAAAAAAAACATTATCAGTAGGTATGCAAATCATCTGTGGCAGAAAGATGGGATATTTCTGAAACACACTGTTGTGTGTAAAATGTGATAAAATTATATTGATAATAACAGTGCAGTATTAATAAACTAAAATAATTTTCCCTCCAAAAAATTTAAATAATTTTAAGTTTAGTTTCTGTTATAATATTTGTTATTTAACATACATTGTAAATATTGTTTTCACTAACTGTTGGTTGGAATTTATTTTGTGCTCGGCACTGTGACTGTGTTCGCATTCAAACTGGGCTACCGATAATAATAATTGAACAATTTTTAAGGGTGGTAGTTTTGCTGGAAAAATTGCCAGAAAATTGTGTGGTTTAAGGATTCTATTTTGCTGGTATCGGTAGTTATTACTAAAGTAGGGTTTATAGCGTAAGCATCCATGTGAATCCTTCCACTGAGTGCTTTCTGCATTTTTGAGTATCAGTAAATATCATAATTGAGATCGGAAAACAATAAATAGCAAACATTTCCCATATACATTATAATGTAATGTAATTTTTACTACCTATTTCTTCTTGAGATTTTTAGTAAAATTAAAAAAAAAATCCCATTTTAATGCATTTACTGATAACAAAAAGAGAATAGTTAGATGACAAGTCTATAAATTCGCTCACAGAAATATAGTAATTTTTCTTCTTCTTTAGAAACATGTAATACAACTAGCAGTCCATCTACCTGTACATTAGGGAAATTAGCTGACAGTTAATGAACTATGACAGAAGAAAACACAATTGTACATGTACATTTTTCGTTGTTCTTCTCTCACCTTCTTCCCCTCTCAATATATGTTGAATGTCAAAGGTACAAACCTTGATAATGAAATCAGGCGTGCACCCATAATAAGTATTTGGTCATTAAGTACAGGGATTGAAATAGAAATTTTACCAATGGTTTTGATAATTATCCTTACTGTGACATACACCGATTATTCTTGATAAAATTTGTTTAGAATGTGTTAATTCACCAGCGTCACCACCAGTGTGTTTTTGTTTGACCAATTGCTATATGGTCCTCTAACACACACCATGTACAGGAAAGTACATGCACTATCATGACATTATTGACTTCTGGGTTGTCGACTAATGGACCGGACATATATTTTTTTACTTTTCTGCAGAATTTTTAGTATCATAAAATCCATTCATATTTGCATTAACATTGGCTTAAATTAAGAAAAATATTGTAAAATGCATGCACAGGCTAAAAAACAACTTGCAAATTGAGTGTATTACCCAGAATATCACACAGGCTTGTATAAGCTATCTTTATGGCAAGGAAGTGACATGATCACTCAGGTACCAGAGAATATCATTACATTGTCCCACATTTTCTTTGAGCTGCAGTTAATTTAAATTAAATTTTATTATCTTTTATTAGCAGTTTTGTTCAAACTGTTAAAATATTTCTTTAAAAATGTAGTGTATAGTGATGAGGAAGATTGTATTGACTGGTTACCATAGCTACTAGATGAGATGAGCTGACAATGGCCTTGTCAGATGCATGTTCATAAATTGGAAAAAAGGAGTTCTCCTTCACCATTTTGATGTGCATGCACTTGACAAAGATGAGGTTTTTTAGCAGATCTATTTTCAGACAGGTTGTGTATTTCAGCCAATGAGTAGCATTAGAATGTATCGTATTTATTATCCACCATTTGGAATGATTAGTCTGAAGGAGCATATGGCATCTGTGAAGCATAAAGTATGCTGTAGTTGTGATGATACAAATTATATTTATTTCAATCGCCTATTCAGTCATACTTATTTTTCCTGTATATTTCTGTCTGAATATCAGCAAACATAAATAAACATGATCTTTTTCCATTTTTTTTGCTAAAAAAAGGATTTTCTTTTTATTGTTTAGAAATTCAACAGCCTGGCAGGACTAGGTTCTAATTATTGACAAAAAATAAAAGTAATTACACCTTTCTTTGTTTGGTTTTGATGTTAATTTCTCTACATTTATGTTTGAAATTTGACCTTCATTTAACACACCTTTAATTTAACAATTCACTAATTGCCTACTCTATGTGTTCAACCATTCTAACAAAATAATTTTGGCTGGTCAAGTAATCTTATACCAATATTAGATGATATTTTTAATATGTTGTGGAGAATTACTTGTATTTTTTTATAAATTAATATTGGATTTGTACCAGTTTCAGATATAACTCTTCCAATCAACATTTTCTTTCCTTTTGCTAAAGGAATAATTTGGGTCATGGTTATTGATCACGTTATTTAAAAACCATGTTTTTATAGTTAGTCAGTGTCACATTGTGTGTTATTGATTATTTTTAACCCCAGCATACCAGAAAAATTAGTTATGTTCACATCCGAAGTGGTCAAAAATGGTAGCTTAAAAAAACATGCATGAACGTTTAATATAGGTTAAGAGGAAGTACATGTACGAGCTAAATCTACCCCATTTTTTAGACCCGGTCTAGATCCTTAGCACAATTTTAATGACATTATGTCCATTATATTCATAACTATTCATTTTGGTATGCCATTTCCGACATGACAGTCAACACGAACAAGTTTGGGTGTTACTTAGACTGTGCTAACTGTTTTTCCATCCTGTGAGTGAACCCATTGGGATATAGCCCAATATGCATACATGTGATTAGC